TCCTTTACTCATGAAAACAATGCCATAAGAAATATTATGACAAGATTTTCAAATAATCTTGACTAGGAAGTGGTCATGCGGTAGAATAGAATGAACCCTGAATCAATCAAGGATCATTAACAATCATAAAGTATAATGATTTCAATAATAAAATAAACACTAGCATATTCAAAGTAGAAGAATTCAAAAATCGTTGATTTTGAGGTGAAAATCATAACTTTGATCTTACTAACTGAAAGTATATATGTAAGGCGCCTAACTATGATATCTTAAACGCTCCACAGGTCTTGAAGAAGAATCCTAACTTTATGAAAAACAATCAAAAATTTCTTTCTTGAAATTCTTGAATTCGTTTCTTGAAAATTCTATGGTCAAGGATTAAAATTTATATAAATAATTCATGAATAGACAAAGAAACTTGAGCTGAAATGCTTGAAATACATAGATAAAGACTTACTTTGATGAATGAGGAGAGAAAAAATAGTATAGGGCTTGAAATAATAGCCAAAAGTGAGAAAAATCGAACTAAAACTGACATAAATGATTTTCCATCAGCCCATCAACGTTAAACTAACATAAATGATTTTTCATCAGCCCATCAACGTTTTCACCGTGAAACGTCTATAAAAAATTGTTCAACACCGGCGAAACGCCTGTCCAAAATAGTATGTCTTTGTCTAAACTAAAATGATCATAAATTTTAGACTCAAACATTGGATTGACGAGAGGTTGATGTCATTCTAAAGAAGACTCAAAGACATCAAATTTTATGGTTAATGTGACACATAACTCTTCATATTCTAAGAGATATGATAGTTTGAATTTGACCCAAGTAAAATCTTATACTGAAACTCAATCGGTAAGGAAACTTTCAACTTAACTTTGTACTAGAGGATTCTTATGACGTTAATTCATCTCCAAAATAATTACCATACCTAGTAATTGATCTTAATGCCTATTCACCATTAAGAATCCCCTGTACGAACCTATACACATACACATAATGGTTTGGATCTTAGCTTAGTAATGTTTGGGGTGTTACATATTTATTGATCTATAACCATTTTTCTTAATTCTTTTTCATATGATGTCTCTTCATCTATCTTTTATCTTTGTTATTAGTGTTAGGATTTCGATTTCTATATTTCGATGTTGTATCAATCACGATGGGGAAAGTTTCCGCTGATAGCGAAAAAATTAACAACTTATAATTAATTGATCTTGTTGAACACATTGAGCATAGAGGATTCGATTGAACATTTGCAGATCCTTAAACTGCATTTATAAATGTGGTTGTCGTTGTTTGCAACAGATTTTAAATTGACAGAAAAAAAGTACAATCACCAAAAAATATGAAAAAATAAGAATATTTTATTGATAATAGTGCAGGTACAGTTTTGTTGATCCCTTGATTCTTCTCTCCTAGGGTGATTCGAACTTGATCTCCATGAAAGGATTTGTAGATCTACTTGAAATATTGTCAAGAAGAGTCTGTGACATATTTTGATGATCATATTCGAGATTTCTTTGAAAAAGACAATACTTGGTGTCTTCATGATCTCTTTGTGAATAACCAATAAAATTTATGAGATATTCGAGATGCATCTTTAAGGAAATATAATATCTCTTATATAGGCATAAGATAGGATTTAGGATGAAGTAGCCTCTAAGAACCCTAACTAAAATAGAATTCGTCTTAATAAAGTCCTAAAAAATTTCAATATCTACAACCGTACATTAAGAGGAATTAAAATTACAAGTCCTAATTAGACATATAAGAATAGAAAAAACATTGGCATAGTAAAAGACAAGAACTAGGATACTTTACTATCCACCAAAGAAAGAAAAAACAATAGAAAATATAATTTTTTTTCTTAAATAATGTAAAATATTTATAGTTTCGTAAATACTCTCCCATATGCTGCCAGAAGCGGCCAGCCAATCATATTTCAACAACTATGTCAGCCCTGCAATTTCAATCTCTTATTGCAAAGAAAATAGGTGACAAAACAAAGTGTCGTATTCTTTGTGTATATAGTCAAGATTTGAAATATTAGAGAAGCCTAAGTCTTAGTCATACAGAAATTTACAATTTGACCGGCAAATTTATATTTACTTCTAGTTAATGTTCTCTCTTACTTATAATATGGTGCATAAGTAAGATTAAATAAATAATAAAAAATTAGAGATCAACTCGTAATATGTTATATGTAAGCTTCAACTTTATTTGATTATAAGTTACAAATACAACTCCAATATTATGTTGTGTATATATAAGGACTGGAAACCTAAATAAGCCACAAAAACATAAAAGTGACCAAAATAAGCCACTACTTTAGGAAGTAACTAAAATAGGCTTAGTGGAAGAAAAAATTTCAGTTTATCTAATATTCTAAACGTTTTCCGTTAGTCTTATAACGTGTATATTTTAATATATAACGGAATTATTTTCTACACTTTATAAAATGGAACTATTTCTTACACTTTATAAAGTGAAACTTTTCTTACACTTTATAAAGTGAAACTTTTTCTTACACTTTATAAAGTGAAACTTTTTCTTACACTTTATAAAGTGAAACTTTTTCTTACACTTTATATAAAGTGGATGGACATTGACCGATAAAGGAGAACATTGTTGACTAGTCTTAGGCTCCTTCCTAACATAGATTTCAAGTATTGTTAACTTGATTTGATCTATGTAGTCATCTGGAACCCTCAAAAAATCGGTCAACGATTCGTCATTATTGATAATCCACTCTCCAAAATTTACTTGTCCTTGTGATAAAAATGAAGTAGGATATTTTACGACTATAATCAAATTATAAACAGTACTGTTTATAATTTGATTATAGTCGTAAAATATCCTACTTCATTTTTATCACAAGGACAAGTAAATTTTGGAGAGTGGATTATCAATAATGACGAATCGTTGACCGATTTTTTGAGGGTTCCAGATGACTACATAGATCAAATCAAGTTAACAATACTTGAAATCTATGTTAGGAAGGAGCCTAAGACTAGTCAACAATGTTCTCCTTTATCGGTCAATGTCCATCCACTTTATATAAAGTGTAAGAAAAAAGTTTTCACTTTATAAAGTGTAAGAAAAGTTTCACTTTATAAAGTGTAAGAAATAGTTCCATTTTATAAAGTGTAGAAAATAATTCCGTTATATATTAAAATATACACGTTATGAGACTAATGGAAAACGTTTAGAATATTAGATAAACTGAAATTTTTTCTTTCCACTAAGCCTATTTTAGTTACTTCCTAAAGTAATAACTTATTTTGGTCACTTTTATATTTTTGTGGCTTATTTAGGTTCCCAGTCCTATATATAATCTCTACTTGATCCTTGTATCTTTAAAGAGAATATTCTATTATATATCATATGATAATTTAGTAGCTACCTAGCTTCTATAATATAATAATATAAGAATTACAACACGCAACGTCACTGACAAAGGGAATCGTCCAAAATCCATCACAGTAATTAAGGAATCTCTGTTCAAATTTGTAATGATCATGAATCCAACATTAGCCAGGCATGGAGCTATTGTTTTCACATATACCCACATTCCAAGGTGAACAAGTATAATATTCTTATTATCAGGGCGGAGCTAGCCTTTGAGATATGTGTTTGATTGAACTCATTAACTTTAATTCAAACTCTGTATTTATTTTAAGAAATTTTTGAGCTAGCCTTTGAGATATGAGTTCAGTCGAACTCACTAACTTTAGTTCAAACATTGTATTTATTTTAAGAAATTCATTGAGCGAGCCTTTAAGATATGTATGGGTTCAGGCGAACTCAATAATTTTAGTTCTATGTATGGGTTCAGGCGAACTCAATAATTTTAGTTCAAACACTGTAATTATCTTAAGAGATTCATTCAATATGTACAAATTATTAATTAGAAATCAATAACTTAAAAGGGCTAAAATTTCAAATGCATAAACTTCAAAACTTGACTCCGCCTATAATGACAATTTCTGGCCCAAGCCAATGACATATTCATAGAATATACTTTGTTTAGATAATTAGAGTGGTGGCTTTCTGTTTGATAAGTTGTAATCCTAACCTTACATAATGGTTAGGGTGCAGGATGCTAAATTCAACAAAAAGAACATGGTCGGATGAATAAAATTTCTTCGCCCTTTATTAAGAGATTTGATTTTGAGCACCAAGAATTTTCTAATAGGAAGCTTTTCTAGTTAAATGAGCTAAACGTAACGACATACTGGATTAATCGAATCAACAAATGTCTGACTATCACCATAATTTTAAAACATGTACATATCTATATAATTCTAATTCTAATCTAGTGACCTAAAAAAATTTAGTAATATGATGTTATATCGGCCATATGATCATATAATTTACTTTACAAATACGTAATCTAGTAACCAATATGATCATATAGTTTACTTTACAAATACGTAATCTAGTAACCAAAATGCTACTCCCTCCGTCCCATTTTATGTGACAACATTTGATTAGGCACGGAGTTTAAGAAATAAATGAAGACTTTGAAATACTTACCATATTAGGAAATGTGACATTCTTTTTGGGACTGACCAAAAAGGAAATAGTGTCACATAAAATGGGACGGAGGGAGTA